TTGGAAAAGTTTAAAAATAGAAATAAAGAAAAAAGAGAATTATATTTATTTAGAGAATAGATTACGGAGTTGATGGGTAGTAACAATAGACTTATATTGATTTATAGATTTCACACAAATTGGGCATTTGGATCGATAAGAAGTCGAGCTTTGGCTAGTAGGCATCAAGAGGTGAGTAGTAACCTTACAGCAATTTGGGTTTCTACAACTAGCATGATTTACATATGATTTTAACATGAACATGTTACCGACTGTTTTGAATTTGCATGTGGGACAAGTCCTTTACTTGATATGATGCCACTATATGTATTGGTGATAATTACAGTTAATATGAATATTCTCATTGTTATTGAATATGTTTTACCATTATTTAAGAAAATATTTACCGTTATCGAAACTAAATTACATGATTTGATAAGAACCGAAATGCCCGATATTGTTATAAAATATTTTCTTACGAGTATATATGGATTACAGAGACAAGTATAAATGGGAGTAGACTTTGAAGGATCCCTTAGCTAACGGCAGGTTCGTTAGACCTGGTGCACCTTGTAATTATCGATTACCGCTATAGCCCTCGCTAGTGGGAAGGTAGAACTAGCATACCGTTACCGATTTTCCTCGAGTAGGGACTACCGTTATATTTGTCTTCTTGCGAAGAAGTCCACAATTATACTGATTACATGATCCATTCATTGAAACCTCCCAAACATGAATATTGATATTATACAGTATTTTCCGAGCTTATTACCGAATTGTCAATTGAATTATATTACATGAAAAACATGATGAGACTAATTATTGTTTATTGTTTCTGAAAGGGCATTCTTATGATATTTTCTGTTTAATATATATACTAGCATGTTTTCTGACTTGTCCCCAATAAAAACGGTTGTGATTAAGTGTTATTATTCACTGAGCTAGCGACTCATTCCCCGCTAATTTTTTTTTACAGAGACGGCAGCTGACGCGGGCGAGGGTTTCGTTAATTAGAGCGCACAACTTGATAGTTCTTGGTGAGCCTCGCACTTGTTCGCGTGGGCGGATTCTTTATTTATTATTATGGTCTTTTCATTGAACTCTTAGAGTCGCTCTATAGTCATTCTTTTAGTGTCATGAGTATTCTTTTGTTATTATAGACTCATGTTGAGTATTACTCTTTCTTATCAAAGTTGGAGATAAATTAATATTTCTAGTTGTTAGTGAGTGGACTATTAATGGTACATATTTGTTTTGGTTAATTGATAAAGTTATTATTGTTTGGATTGATATTAGGATGTTTGGTTGTTGATTTGAGACATGAAATTGTTTTTGGACAGTCCAAAAACAGGGAAAATTCTGTCCGATTTTCTATAAAATACCGATGAGGCTTACTTGGGGACACTTGCTCCTAAGTGTCGGTCATGATCCTAAATTGGGTCGTGACAACAACACTAAAAACTTCTTTATTAAAATTTCAGCAACCTGCAGTATGAATAGTTCTGGTGAGGATTGATGACTGATGAGTGCCACAATCAAAAATTAATATGCAATTCATTAAAAATATAAATACATCGCGGAGCAAAATAATCCAAAGCAGTCAAACAGTTATATGGAATCAGCTAAAGTGAAATGTTTTGCAGGGAACATAGCCTTCTTTCATGTAATTATCTGGGATAATAATCTAGCATTTCAACAAACCTGTTTTGGTGAACCAAAATCTCGTATGTCCTCTTTACTGCTTGGTATCACATTTACACTAACACTTTCCAGTGGTTCAATAACATCTTTGAAAACTTTATCTTCACCTTCAACAACTTCCTGGGCGAGGGTAAAAAATAAAGATAGTTAAAGCAAAACTGAGTCAATGGATAAGACTTGTTTTATTTATAAGTGGGATAAGTAGTCCAAAAATTGAAAGTTGCAACTATAGAATATTTTTAAAAATTAGTGGAATTATATAAAAGGTGACTAAAATTTTCAAAATGGTATTTATGGACTGAAGATCCAAAATTGCTAAACCAACAAATGTAGCTCCATACTCCAGTTTCTCCAGCAAATTTTTAACACAACTATGACATAGGAACAAAAGACAGCCGTAAAAAGAAAAACAATAGAGAACATTACAGCCATCAAGTTCAGAATGACCCGTCACCCAAAAGGATTAGAGGAAAGAGTATCCATCCTTCTTGTATGTGACATGCAGAAATCCCTTCTTACTTTCTGCAGCAACTGAGCCATGTCAAAGTGTGTACTCTTAAGATATCAGCCATTAAAATTTCAAGAATCTACAGTATACATGAGAGATAAATGTGTGAGATACATCAGAACTCCTTTTGACTAGGGAAGTAAAAGGTTAAGACACTGCACGAAGACTTTTACATGATGTTAGTGTCTGATAAGTCATCAGCAAAACGGGGCAATTGTTGATCCCATTGCAAGAATCTGATGCCTCTCAAGTCTATCTATAAGGAAACAAATACAGGAAAGTAGTGACTGGTCCAGGTTTGGTGACAAAAGGTCAATCAGCATAGCAGAAGCTGATGTACTGCCAGTACTATTCCCACATCTTATACGCAGAACAAGAACCGCTATTATGAGCATATCAGGAATCTGGGATGACACCTAATTCAAGCTCAAAGACCTTAAAATGCAAGGTCATCCAACAAGCAACATCTCAGTTCATGGATGCAAAGGTGTTAATATCAACAAAGACATGCATTATTACTAAAGGTGTCTCTTCAAAGTAGAATTTAGTTTACTTCAAAATCCTTTACAAGGCAGCAATTTTGAATTCACTTTCATTTATCAGTAAGAAATTATATCCTCTACCTGGAAGTAGATTCCCCTCACGCTCCTCAAGAAAGCAGATTAAAGTGAACCGAATTAATCTATATTATATAAAAACCAGTGGAGATTACACTGTTGAACTAAACAACCCTGCTTTGAGCAGCATAAGACTATTCACTCGGGTAAATTGGATCCTGCAAAGAAGTCTACAGGACCTATGAAACTGTGTACTCTTCCTTCACTTTGCAATAGGACTGTTATCATAAAAAATAAAAGATTGAGCTTAATGCTCAATCATGCATCTTATTGGTCAAGGCCTTAGTTAGAGGGATCTAATTACTTGACAGCTTGATTCTTTTGTTAAAGAAAAGGAGGAAAGTAGTCTAACCTTGGCAAGAGGAAGTGGAAGTTTCTGTCACATGCTCTGACCTGATAACACAGTCAGGGCCCCTACGGTTATGGCCAGGGACAAAGCTAGTGTTCTACGTACGGGTTCAGCATAACCCAGTAGCTATGATCCATACTATGTATTTGTATTAAAAACTCACTCAATATGTAGAAATAATTTATTCAGAAACTAGTAAAGTGCCTTTACTAGAATCCGGAACCCATAAACTCAAAATCTTGGCTCCAGGCCTCAGGCCTCTGGTTATGGCCATTCCTAAACCATGCCAGCTGATGCATCACAGTCATTTTTGTAAATGAAGAAGAGGAACTTTAATAAAGGGGATATTTTGTCAGTGCTAAGCAAGATTGAAGAAGAATAGGGAACGGTACCTGAGATGATGCATTTGGCAAGTGTGGATGACATGGACGGTATGTTTTTGCAGTTACACCATCTCTCGAAATAATAACCAAAACCTGCAAAATCATAAACAAAGATATGCATGGCATTCTTTAGCCAATCAGATTTATGTGATTGACCGTGGACGTTTCAATGAGGTAATACCAAATAAAATCTAGCAAACCCGTCGCCAATTCAGCAGCATAAATGAAAATGACCTTCTCTACAGTACCTTACAATGTCGCTGACGGTGAAGTGAAGTCCCAGCAAAAGGAGTGTCTTTGCCACGCGTCCCCCAGAAAGAAGAAAACAGTTGGTTTCAGTTTCTTCAATCTTCACATAACCCGCAGGCCATAAAAACCCCTCTCAATTTTGATAGGTCATGTGCCCTGTTATATTTTGATGATCTAACAAACTTAATGATAAGAACCAGATGGGGAACCTGTTATACACATCCTTAGGGTTCATGAATAACAAGTCTCAAGTCGGCTATAAATTCCAACAATCAAAGTCAAAGAGACGTCAGAGGGAACAGATGGACATCAGTTCTCTTGCTAACTATACCAATCAACTGCTCACAGCTGTAAAGTTGCTGTAACTGTTTCTCTGCACACACGCAACAGTGTGAACAGTGCAGCAGCCACTTTATGGGACATGCCTTGTACCAGATATTGCTTGCATTATCCAAGTGACATCACTTGGATATTATTAACATGAAGCAATGAAGAAAACGTACATTTGCACATTCCAGAATTAATCAAATCTTCTCTCAAGTATGTTGTTATCTTGCAAGTGATTTTCAGGCTTCAAGAACAAAGAACAACATAACAAAAGACCAGTTTCCAGCATTGTGTTATTATATGTCCCTAGTTGTGTTGCACCTTTGTTAGAATGATTTACTTGTAATTCCTACTTAGCTTAGCTAGAAGCATTGTGTAGGAAACCAATTATAAAATCATAAACCTTGTGTTTGTGTCTTGGCTAGAGTTAGTCGAGTTATGAACTTTGTAATAGAGTTATTACAAAGAGGCTTGTAATAGAGTTATTACAAATGAGTGAGGGATTAAAAGTTTAATTCCTAGGCTACAATAGGTTGTAATCTAAAAGTTGCTCGGTTAGTAAAGTTGAAATCCTACAAGTGTAGGTCTTGGTTTTTAATCCCGTGAGTTGGGAGTTTTCCACGTAAAACTCTGCTGTGTCATTTCCCTATCCCTTATTGTGCGTATTCTGTGGGAACTGATAGAGAACCAGGTTCTCTATACAGTTTGGTGGACCCTAAGGTTCTATCAATTGGTATCATAGCAGGTTCTTTCTATCAGGCTAACACCTAGAAAGGATCCAAATGGCTGCTCCACCAAACTTTGAAGAACGTTAATCAACCTACAGACCACCAAGATTCAATGGACAGTACTATGGATGGTGGAAGACAAGGATGCATGATTTTATCATGGCTGAAGATTCAGAGCTCTGGGATGTTATCTGTGATGGACCCTTCATCCTTATGAAGACCATTGGCGAACCAACAGTGACAGTTCCCAAGACAAGGAAGGAATACAACGATGTTGACCGCAAAGCTATAGAGAAGAACTTTCGGGCAAAAAAGATCCTCACCTGTGGCATTGGACAAAACGAATACAACAGGATCTCTGCCTATCAATCAACCAAGGAGATATGGGAAGCTCTCCAAATGGCACATGAAGGAACAACTCAAGTTAAGCAATCGGAGATCGACATGCTCACCACTGAGTATGAATTCTTCAGGATGAAGGATGATGAATCCATTCAAGACATGCACACTCGATTCACCTCCATCATCAATGAGCTTCACTCTCTAGGAGAAATCATTCCAAGGAACAAACTTGTTAGGAAAATACTAAGTGTACTATTTGATTCTTGGGAAAGCAAGGTCAATGCTATCATTGAGGCAAAGGATCTGCAAAAGCTAACCATTAATGAACTTATTGGAAATATGAAGACATATGAAATGAAGAAAAAGAAGGACCATGAAAGAAGAGAACCCAAGAAGGAGAAGAACATGGTTCTCAAGGCTGACAATAATGACTCAAGTGGTGAGGATACCGATATGGCTTACCTGACAAAGTGATTTCAGAAATTGGTTCGCAGGAATTGAGGTATTCCAAAAAGGGGCAGCTCCAACAAGCCAAGAGGGTATGACTTATGTCATAAATGCGGAAAGCAAGGACACTTTATCAAGGACTATCCTCTCCTCAAGAAAGACTAGTACAAGCACAACACAGACAAAGCAACCAAGAGGAACCCGATTCCTGATAAAAGATTCAAGAGAAAAAAAGCCGCTGACAATGTTGTAAAACAAGCTCTTGCTGCATGGGGAGATTCTTCCAGTGAAGATGATGCACAAGGTGATACCTCCATGATGGCAGTTAAATGTGAAGCAGCTGAATATGACTCTATCTTTGCCCTGATGGAAAAATCTGACGATGATGAAGATAATGATGATGATGAGGAAGTAGTGAAAGGAAGTAGCCAAAAATGGTACATGGATAGTGGTTGTTCCAAACACATGACTGGAAGCATCGATGATTTTCTTTCACTCAAAGTCCTGTAAGGAGGGAGTGTGTCCTTTGTCAATGGTAAAAAAGAGATACATTCTGGGAGTAGGAATAGTTGAGAAAACACTCACTCACTCAATTAAAAATGTGTATTATGTGAATGTCTTGAAATATAGCCTACTGAGCGTCTCTCAAATCTGCGATAAAGGAAACAAAGTGAAATTATTATCAAAAATCTGTGCAGTCACAAATCTTGTGACTGATGAAGTGGTCTTGATGGCTAAAAGATACAAAAATATTTATGTTGCTGATTTTGAGTCCTTGCACAATAGAGATCTCATATGTCTTAGTGTTGTTGATGATGATGCTGAACTATGGCACACAAGATTGGGACATGCAAGTTTAACGTTGCTGAACAAATTAGTCAAGAAGGACCTAGTTCGTAGGCTGCCTAAGTCAAGTTTCAAAGATCACAAGGTGTGTGATGCATGTGTGAAAGGAAAGCAAGTCAGGTCCTTATTCAAGACTAAAAAGGATGTAAGCACCTCAAGGCCACTTGTTCTCCTTCATATGGTTCTGTGTGGACCTATGAGAGTTCCAAGTAAAGGAGGAAAGAGGAACATTTTTGTCATAGTGGATGACTACTCCAGATTCACCTGGACTTTGTTCCTCAGAACCAAGGATGAAACTTTTCCAGTGTTTGCTGCCTTTGTGAAGAAGATTCAAGTGAAGATGAGCCATAATGTTGTGAGTATAAGATCTGATCACGGCACAGAGTTCGACAATGCAAAATTCGACGAATTCTGTGCTGAAAATGGTATATGTCATAATTTTTCAGCTCCAAGAACACCTCAACAAAATGGTGTTGTGGAAAGGAAAAATAGGACTCTTGAAGACATGGAAAGAACAATGCTTATTGACAGTGGGATTGCAAAAAAGCTTCTGGGCAGAGGCAGTCAACACTGCATACTACTTAGAGAATAGGTGCATGATTAGGCCTTCCTTGAACAAAACCCTGTATGAACTATTGAACGGGAGAAAGCCCAAGCTAACACATTTGAGGACATTTGGTTGCAAATGTTTCGTCCTCAATAACGGGAAGGAAGCACTAGGAAAATTCGATGCCAAAAGTGATGAAGGAATCTTTCTTGGCTATTCATCACAAAGCAAAGCTTACAAGGTCTACAAAAAAAGAACTCAATGTCTTGAGGAAAGCATACATGTCATCTTTGATGAATTACACCACATATGTGGGAAAGATTCACCTGATAGGATTGATCAAGACGGAGAGCAGTCAAAGGTACTTGGTGAAGTCATTGATATGGCAAATGGAAAAGCTGTCATAATGAGTCAGGTCAAGGAATCAAATGAAGATGGTACAGTTGTACCTCCATTTGATATAGAGGAACCTAGTCCCTCCATCACAACAACTGAAGCGGAAAACAGAGTCGTCGATGTCGTACAAGGAACCCCTGATGCTGAGCGAAGAAGTAGCACTCCTGTCTACAATGGATCTCACTCAGAGGAACCTGGATCCTCTCATAATGAGAATCAGGTGTCCAACTGGAAACACAAGAGTTCACATCCTCTTCAAAATGTGATCTCTCCCCTTGACTTAAGGATTCAAACCAGATCAAAGTCAAGAAATTCACTTGCCTTCTCAGTCTTTCTCTCCCAAATTGAGCCTAAAAATATCAAGGAAGCATTGAAAGATACTGATTGGATTACTGCTATGCAAGATGAACTTCATCAATTTGAGAGGAACAATGTATGACACTTGGTTCCTCAACCATCAGACATAACTGTTATAGGAACTAGGGTGGTGTGTTTAGAAACAAACTTGATGAGTTTGGTAACACAACAAGAAATAAGGTAAGGTTAGTAGTTCAAGGATACAATCAAGAAGAAGGGATCGACTATGATGAAACATTTTCTCCAGTTACTCGAATGGAAGCCATCAGAATCCTCATTGCCTTTGCATCTCATATGGAAATCAAATTGTTCCAAATGGATGTCAAAAGTGTATTTCTGAATGGATATCTAAAGTAGAAAGTCTTTGTCAAACACCACCTAGTTTTGAATGTCATGAACATCTTGAAGATGTATTCAAACTTGATAGGACATTATATGGACTGAAGTAGGCCCCTCATGCATGGTATGAAAGGTTGTCCAAATTTCTCCTTGAAAATGGCTTTCCTAGAGGAAAAATTGACAACACCCTATTTCTGAAGAAACGGGGGAGGAACCTGATCATTGTGCAAATCTATGTTGACGACATCATCTTTGGTGTAACAAATGATTCCCTGTGTGAAGAGTTTGCAAAGCTTATAGGAAGTGAGTTTGAAATGAGCATGATGGGGGAATTAAATGTTTTCTTGGGACTACAAGTTAAGCAAACTCCTTAGGGCACGATGATAAGTCAACATAAGTACATTAAAGAGATCCTAAAGATATTTGAGATGGAAAGTTCAAAAATCATTGATACCCCTATTGCCACTGCTACTCGTCTAGACATGGATGAATCTGGTTCTCCTATGAATGAAACCATATACAGAGGTATCATTGGTTCACTCTTATATCTCACAGCTAGTAGACAAGATATTGTATTCAGTGTGGGATTATGTGCTAGGTTTCAATCTAGTCAAAGGAATCTCATCTGAAGGCCGCCAAGAGAATTCTACGGTATCTCAAAGAAACGCAGGACCTGGCTCTCTACTACCCTTCAGGAGACAATTTCGACTTGATTGGATAAGTTGACGCTGATTATGTTGGTTATCTGGTGGATAGAAAAAGAACTTCTGGCATGGCACATTTTCTGGGATCGTGTCTGATTTCATGGGGTACAAGGAAACAAAACTTTGTGGCTCTTTCAACTGTAGAAGCTGAATATGTGGTGTCGCACCCCGTTTTCTCGCGAAAGCAGGTTTCAACGTGTGAAAACTCTTTTAAATGGGTATTAAAAGAGAAGAGTCGCCACCTAATAATTTTTAAGGTGCGTTAGAGCACCTATTTACAAATAACTCTGTTTTAACTAGTCAACGCCACCAAAGATCGGGTAAGGGCTCAAATTACCTCAAAGAGAAGTTGTTAGGCACTTTTTGAGGTCCACAACTGTGGGTCCTAACGAACTTTAAACTATGTGGATTATATAATTAGACTGAATGATCAAATAAATAAAGGGAAATTTAGAAATCGAAGAGTCTTATTAGGGCATGTGAGAATCAGCACACATCTTAATGACTACATAGATACAACTAAATTGATCTATGTTAAATGACTAAGTGTAAATAACAAATACATAAAGAAAGTAGGGGGGGTCCTAAGTTTTTTAGCCTAAAGGATCACCCCATGTAACATAAATAATATTTAGCAACTCCTTTGAGGTAGGAGTTGCTCATATTATTCAGCGAGCACAGACTATCATCTCCTGCTACCAATTACTATGTTGAAATTGTTTTCTTAAAAGCGTTCTAATTCAATTCTAAGTCGTGCCCTATGTGTGCACTACCCGTCCCACGCCTATGGTCCAGGAGGCTTTGGACCTACTATTTAGGTAGTTCTAGACTTTACTTAGGTTTCTCAAAATGATAAAACTAGTCGCACATCCAAAACAAGTAGGACTGCACATAATAGCAACGAGTGGCTCATGTTAGCCTCCACACATAGCAACAAAGGCACGTAAACAGATTTCAGATTATGCAGTGAAGAGTCGTGAGCAATTTTAGAATTAAGATGTATGAAAGTCGTTTAAACATATAGGCATGGCTTCTATGTGACCACATGGCTTAATAAAATCTCATGGGCAGTGTTGCTACTCAGATTATCAAAATTATAGATTATAAGTGTTATTAAAGTCTATAGATATGATCTCTAGGTGATACGCGTCTGGGCAGTGAAGACATTGAAAAAAAACTCAGAATTACTAATTTTGATCCTATTGGTATGTTTTCTAAGCGAGTAGTACTATCCTATAGGCATGCTCTCTAGTAGTTGATATTCAAACACAGATTCGTCATGCTTATTCCTATATGCATGTTGTCTAGGTGGGCAGTATGACAAGAACAACAAAACAGTAATTTGATTAGTCAATTAAGGCCCTATAGACATGGTATCTAGATGAATATCAATGGAAGCCGATCTTAATTATTTCACACGATCCTAGAGGCATGTTATCTAACAATCACACAAGAATAGCACAAGTTGGGCAAATAATCCATGATATTTGAATCCTATAGGCATACTATCTAATATTGTATAGAAATAAAGCATGTGAACAAGGGAAATACTTATATTTTAGACATGCTTATGATGTTAGCAGGTAACACATTTAAGTTCTTATAGGCATGCCTTCTGTCAGTGTATAGAAAATAGAGCATGTCAAACAAAGTAATAAGTAAAGCAATTAAATCCTATAGGCATGCTTTCTACCCATCCATGTAAGAATTAAAGTGCATTATCCCCCTTTTCACTAATTTCCCATCTGTTTTGTTTATAAATTATTATAAGCACAAAATAATGAATGCAAGTGCAAATATTACATACTGAAGGACTACAAGCCCAATAACAGAGCAGGCCCAAAAGAGAAATAACCAAGTACTGCTTGAGCCTTCAGCAAGCTCACTTTTCACGCTAATAGTAGACCCAGATCCAAGCACACCTCAAACATGAGAGTGTATCAATTGCACAACTCGGGGCCACACATGGGCTTATACCGGGCCTAGATGAATGAACCATACATGGCAACCAATTGACAATTATGAAGTCTATAATACCTTATATGGACACGATTACACAAATATATAGGCACTTATTTTTTAGAAGCTAAGGGAACAAGATTGATCAAACAAGAGGGTTTGAACATGCCAACTAGGTGGACCAGCGAGAACTAGCTTTAACATAGTAAGTTGACATAGAAACTAATACCATATTGAGCAATCATTCAACAAAGGAAAGGGTATAGCATGCTGGACACAATCACACATTAGGAGGACTTAAGAAGCATGTCTATTGGGTTAACAGGGTAAACACACACACACATGCTAAGTTCCCATAAATCAAGTTTAGCATAAGGTATTCACCAGAATTAGTCAAAAAGACTTTAGACATATGAGCCTTAATCATAGTAGTTATAGTAAGAGGGATAGCAATTTCACATGAAGATTTCTAACATGGGAGCCTAACATGATCACAATCAGTACAACAAGAACCTAATAGCATAGTCTACAGCAAACCACAACAATGCCAAAATTCAAAGAACTCATGAAAGCATATCAACATAAGAGGAATAGGACAGGCAATCATAATAACTCATACCAATTACCCAGACATAAGAGAAGAAGCTAGCATAGAAATTTGCCTTAGAAGCAATGCCGAAGACATAGGATTAACAAATCAAACATACATTAGAACTTAAATGGCATGGAAACATGCCAATCAGTACAGCCTCAGAAACTTAGCAGGTTGGACAAGAATAACTCAACAAAGTCTAAACCACATGCATTGATTTATCAAAGAGATATAGGACAAGGTGGGGAACACACATTAGTTTACGAGTAGCACGTTTAGGCTAATAACATGATTAGGGGTTAACTCTAGAAGATTATGAATGATTTAACAGGAATTATAACAGGTTCTGGGCATGATACAGAACAAAGCAAGAAGTTAAACTCAGAATGAGCAACAGTAATAAGCATTCGAACACATATAGTAGAGCAAACAGTCCTAAGTAAACAAGATTAAGGAAACAAGTAGGCAAATTCGATTACTAGAAGGTATATAGCCTCAAGAAGAACTTCAGAGCATACAATAACATGTCGATTCATAAAAAGAATCTCAGAAACATAGATATGCAGAATAGGAATTCAAGCGAAAGAAAATGAAATTGCAAGGGTCATAGGTACTTCCCAGTTACTAATTGACAAATGAACAAACAAAGAACAATTTCAGCAATATCTCAAACATCAATAGTGGTAGAACCCCAAAATCTTAGTCCGTCAGAGTTCTCAAGGGTTTCGGATGAACCCCGGACAGTGCTCTCACTGAGAAAGGTCGAATAATCAAATTCCAGTGGCCTTGGATTTTAACCGGTTAAGAGTTTAAGTCTCAAAATAGTGTAAGGCGAGAATAAGAAAGACAATAGTAGTTTTTTTTAGCGATTAGAGTCTGTTGAAGGGGAACTTGGGAAGGGATTTATATAGTAGTAAAGACCAATACACAAAATATGGAAATACAGTGAATCAAACACAAATAAGGAAAGAGGAGCATACAAAATCACTCAGAATCATTTTAGGCGAAAATCAGGCAAACCCTAGTTCAAAAGGAGAACACAGATGGTCGAAATATCACTGAATCGGACCCATATAGCCTGGTAGTGAGTGTATTCAGACGAAATATCGTCTAACTCTCAAAAGTTGAAGGTGATGGCACTTGATTTGGGAGATCGGTACTTGCCAAAAATAGGGGGCAAGTACTATGTAATACCATAGTCTTGTAAGAAACATCTAGATACTGCATAGAAGGTAAGTGAATCACGGATTGATTCCATTTTGGGGTCTGATTTGGAGAAGATTCGGAGATATGGCGGCTAGGGTTTCTCAGCGACGAAGAGAGTAGAGATGATTTAGGGGTGGCTATTGGGCGGAAGTGTCTCTAGGGTTTGGGTGAGAAAGATATAAGGAAAGGGGAAGGGCCATTGCGGGTCGTTGATCATCTAAGATCAATGGCCATAATTAAAGGAGAAATGGGGCGGGTCAGGAGATGAGTATAGGGTAATGTGCTGTTGATATTGGGTTAAGGGGTATTGGGCCAAGGTTTTGGTCCGAAAATTAGCCCTATATTGGGTTAAGAATTAAATACACCAAAATTATTTAAAAATATTTATAAAAAAATTAATAAAAATATTACTTATGCAATAAAATAATTGAAAATAATAACTTAACATTATAAAGATATAAAAAATGCTATTTTAACATGAATAATGTAATAAATGTAATTATGCATAGAATATAGGCTATTACTGCAAAATTATATAAATAGGTCAAAAATGCAAATATAATTACATGAAACAAAGTAAAAATATTATGAAACATATAAATAGATGCAAATAATAAATTTGGATGGTTAAATCATCACAAATTAATTTGAAGGAGTAATAGATATTTTGAACAATTAAAATACAAGAAAAATCAATTTTAAAGCTTTAAAAATTATAGAAAATTATAGAAAATACTTATATAACCCTTGTAAATTAGGTAATGATGCAAAATAATATTTTGAAAGTATATATACTATTTAAAAAAAATATGAGGGCAAAATTGGGTATCAACAACTGCCCCTCTTTACCCGAGAATAATGAAAGAGTTGTCGGGTAAAGAAAATGATGACCAATTTTGTCCGAAGTGAGTGAGGAATAATGTATTTTGAAAAATGGGGGGCCAAACCATATTTCTTGAGTTGCCTACATATCCCTGGTGTTATGGGAATCATGTCGTGTGTAGTTCTGGATCCAACGATGAACGAAACCGATGGAGTTATTATAAGAGGGTAGTGTCGCAGGTAACAGATAATTTTAGGTGGAGCTATGGATGCAATTTTGAACATTATGGATATATAAGTTGAGTATTTGAGCGGTTATGGGACGAAAAGGCAATCAATTAATGGTCGTCGGTTACGTTTGAAATAGTCAGGGATGTGAACGTTGTGAACGGAAACCGGAGTGAGAATTGCTCCTGTTTGTAGAACAGTTACCTCCTGAGTCACTTGCAAAACTTAAAACACGATGCACGCGAATGTATGTAGGTTATTGCAAAAATTTAAACATGATGCAAATTCCCTTCGGACCATGAGGATTGTATTTGGACGATAAGGATGATGTCCTTAGACTATGA